GAAGAATATTGGCGGCGGGGGGGAGGATTCCAAACATAAAATCCCACAGGGAAGATAACCGTGTTGTCTTGTCTACATCTATCTATGCAAAAAGTGGGGTGATCTTCCTCTGTTACAGACTTTGGTGTTAATCCACTGTGAATGGTGGAGAGAGGATTTTAGGATTCTTTTGTGGCAAACTATCACAAAACCTTTTGACTGAGAGGAGTTGCCTTACTTTCTTTAACTATTGAAGGTGGTCAGGGTTTTCTTTCCTTTCTTTTTTTTTAAAAAAATCCTGTTTCTGCCGTTTTGCAAAAAGTCTCATGGCTGGGAGGGCATCTGTGAACTTTTGGCAGGGCTGTCTTTTCTGAACTGTGTCAGCTGTTTTATCTGGGTTTTCTGTCTTAAAGGCCAGGTTTTTCTCATTGTAGGTTTATGGGCAAAGAGGACTGAGGCCGAAGAGGGCTGGCGCCGCAGCATTTAGGATGCTGGCCACGCCCCCCCGGAGGCACCGGGTTGGGGTCCTGCCGATGGGGGGCGGGCGCCAGCCAGGTGAATGAGGGGAGGCGGAGCTCAGGCTCCCGCCCACAACCACTCCCTCCCTTCAAGGGAGGAGAGTCTTTGTCCCATTTTAGACTGCAATCACTTCTTTCTGAATAAACCTACTTCACGTCAAATTTATGTGTGTTGATTTGGGTACAGCCTTGATACTAAATCCAGTTCTTGCTTGCTATTGAGCAAGTTTGCAACTGTGAAGATCAGAGAGCAGAGATCCCTGTTTTCAGTTCTTGCTTCTTCAAAATCTTACACTCTCCTGTCCCACTCTAGTTGACAGAAGGAATGGGGGGGTGGAGCTGGCAGGGTTGGGGTGTTAGACCCAGCTGCAACACAAGGATCTGAGCCATTGGGTTTGGGGGACCTGTCTTTCACACAGATCACTGCCTCTGTTTTTATTTGAACTCAATATAATATAGGTCCTCTTGGGCCTATATATTCATCACATCCTGCATTTATAGTGTGTTTCATGCACACAGCAGAGCAGGCAGATTGGATCAAAATGGATGTCACTATTCCATATCTGTGTCCCTTCTGTAAGAAATGCTTGGACCTTTTTCACATTTTTGCTGCTTTAAGTAAGATGAATTTGACTCCAGTTTGGTAGATTACCAGCATTGGAGCACCTGCCTTATGCCTGCTAGAAAGTTCTGGTTAGCCCTTTTTACCGACACACAAAATGTAGCCATTGCTCTTGCAGAATAAAACACTGCAGTTATTCCTCTGTTCCTCTGACACCTGCAGTAGGAATTTTAGGGAGGGGTATTTAATTGGCCGCAGTGTCTTCCCTTTTATTATTTTCTTCACACTGCTGGGAGGAATTCATCTGGCATTTGACAGTGGCATGGTATGGTTGCTCTTTGGAACTTTAAGTCCAAACAGATGAAGCAGTTGGGGACAACACATTAATTATGTTGACATCCATCTGTCTCAAGAGACAATGGAGTGCACCTCTGGAGGTGAAGTCAAACCTTTGATTTAGCAGCACTGAAGTGACCTCCCCAGAGTGCAAGCCTGGGCATTGTATATGAAGGTCCTGGGCTTCCCAAATGACAAGACACCCTTCAAGGCTTTGCTGATGTGGTCCAAAAGAAGCAGAACAACACATTAGGCACCAGTTTGGGTACAGGAGTTGCCATCCAACCATCTTAGGGACTCCACTCCAGATTTGTGTAGGGTTTTCAGCCTCCTCCCCCTTCACTCTCAATTTCTGGCATGTTGGCTGAAGAGTAAAGGCAGCAAGCAGGAAGAGCCCTGTTGGAAAGGAGGTACCTGCACAGAGTCAGCTGTGAGGCACCTTTCCAGCCAGGTGTTACCTGATAATGATAATGGCAATGGAGGACTGCTCTGGTGCTTACTTCGGCTTTTACTCGCAAGTAAATCCCAACAGTGGGTGGCTAAAGCTGACGACAGATGTGGGTGGGGATGGGGGGGTGCCATTTGTGGAAAAGGGTTTTCATCCCTGCTCTGGGGAAGGGGTTGTTTTCATCCCTTCTACTTGCCAGCAAATGCCAACAGTGCATGCAAGCACCTGGATGGCTGGGGCTACCCATGTGGAGTGTCAGCTCGGCCCTGCACAGCTGTGGTGTTGCTTGACTTCCCACTGATTTGAAAGGGCCTTGTGCAAAGTAGCTTCCTCCTTGGTTGATTGTGAATTTCATCTTAAAAGCAGGTGTTTTCTGCTTGTGGCAACGGCTTTGGAGAGTTGCCCAAAAACCACACTGCGCTTTACACCCAGTGCCCCTTCCCCCTCATACCTTCTTGACTGGGAGCAGGTCTTGGGCAATCTGCGGGTGAAGCTGCCCTCCGGCCCGGGGTTGGGCATTGGGAGGATGATTACTCCCATCTCATCCTCAAAAATTACATACAAAAAGGCTCCCATGTAATGGGCAGCCTTTGCCATGGCAGCCAAACAGGAAGTTGGGTGGCTGAGTTTTTATCATTAGTATCTCCAAGAGTGGTGAATGGCACTATTTACTGGGAAGAAACTCCAGTGAAAATCCTCATTATTACATATTTTCACATGGCTGTTTATTTCTTTATATTTTATAATTTTATATAGGGATGCTTTTTGATGGCCTATATTTGTAATGCCTAATAAAGGTTTTTTGACCAAACTGCGGGAGGCCGTGGAAGACAGGAGTGCTTGGCGTGCTCTGGTCCATGGGGTCACGAAGAGTCGGACACGACTAAACAACTAAACAACAACAACAATAAAGGTTTGGTGAAGAAGAAATACTTCAGTTTTATCCAGCTCTTCCAAAGGGGGCAACCAGATCTTTTTCTTTGATTGCACAGCCACATATTTAGATGGAGATGGAGGCATCTGTAAGACATTTAATTTACTCCAGAGCCTATACTTGGGTAATATTAGCAGCAACCCAAAAGTCACAAAGTTTGGTCCTCTCCAGAGTCATCTCAAGCCAGAAAGAAATGTCTCCCCTACCCAACTATATCACCATTGCAGTATATCAGTATATCAGTTTTTCAAAGTACAGTGGTACCTCAGGTTACATACGCTTCAGGTTACATACTCTTCAGGTTACAGACTCCGCTGACCCAGAAATAGTGCTTCAGGTTAAGAACTTTGCTTCAGGATGAGAACAGAAATCGTGCTCCGACGGTGCGGCGGCAGCAGGAGGCCCCATTAGCTAAAGTGGTGCTTCAGGTTAAGAACAGTTTCAGGTTGAGTACGGACCTCCAGAACGAATTAAGTTCTTAACCTGAGGTACCACTGTACATTTGTTTGTGTCTTTATTTTCTGTTGGTATAATTTTTCCCACAGTATATTTTTTTTCCTTATTTAAGTTTGTTTTCATTCCCCCCAACTTACAAATACAATATTTTGCAGAGAAATGGATGACTCATCATTTTTTTAAAAAAGCTTTTTCAAAGCTCTACTGCTTAAATTTTAAGCCTTAAAACTGCTAAACGACCAAACAACACAAGTTATCACCAGGTACATGGGGATCACCACTTGTGTGCAATTGGCGCTGCGGTTAACACTTTTACCTGCACCAAAAACTGCACTGAAAGGGGGTGGGGCAGAATGGGACAGCAGTGGAACAGGGTAATGCCCTGTAATGGAACCCCACTGTAAGTGGCTCCCATAGAAGGAATGTGGTTGGTCATGGGTGCTGTAGACAAAAATGTTGAAAACCTCTGGTGTAGGGTTTACTCCTAAGCCCTTTCTTCTCCTGAAGATATCCCAAAAAGCAGTGGAGGTTTAGGGTCAGAGTTTTCCATTTAGATGGTCTACTTTCCCAGGCTGATGTTCCCCATCTGCCCCTCACTTCCCTCTACATCATGTGCAAAAAAAAAAAAAGCTTCTTAACCATTGCTCTCATCTTCTCAATCCGCCAGAGCTTGCCTTTGCATGCAGTGGAAATCCCTAACTCAACAAGGGTTTGAGACCCAACGGCTACCCTCACCTGGTTTAGCTAGCCATTCAAAGCCAGTTCCTGGGGTGTGGATGCTGTCACTTGCTTCCAGCAGCCACAGGTGAGAGCAGAGTGCAAGGGGGGACAAAGGTGAACAAACTACCCCAGAATGAGCACAACGTGTCCTCCACCAGAGGTAAAACCCTCCCCTAACAACTCATGCACCCCACATTAAGTATACAGAAACATGATTGGGTTCAGGGCACCCTTAAGGGATCTGACTTTGCATTATGCCTTTACCCCTAAGAAACAAAGGACTTACTGTGTTTTGACCTTGGATTATGTCTGGACCTCGCCTTTCATGCTACACCTGTGTTTTGGCTTTAGAATGTGAATCATTTTGGGACAATTTGTCTTGTGGGTTCCTGACATCAAGGAGGAAGTTTCAGTCTATAGACCTTTCCCAACCATACAGATTTTTGGTTCCTTGGAATTCCTGAGAACCGCCAGGTACAAGCTGCTAGTGAATTTTTAATTGAATATTCCTCAGAATCAAAGCTTCTGGAAACATTTCAATGGTGGGGGTGGGTGAGCCAAAGAAATCAGTCACTAGTTAAGTCAGGATGTAATTGGACAGACAACTGAGATCTTTTATCTGATCTCTAGTTTCTTTACATATTTGCAGACAATAGTGGTGTAATGGAAAAATGAGTCTTCTAGACTGAGCACATAACAATGCCAGAAAGTGTAATGCTTTTCTCTTCATTCAGCTTTCCTAGTGGAACTAGTTCCACTAGGAAAGAAAAACCAAAACTAAAACCTGTGCCATTAGGGAAAAACTATTAATATCCCAGATTACAATTTTCAGTTTTCTTCTCGTTCTTGGCCTTCAGAAGTTAACATTCATTGTGCCATCACTGCATAGAAATTATTCACTTGAAAAGCCCCAATGCAAGAAACAGAATTTGTCTGCTTTATCAATTTATTCAGATCACAATTCAAATGGAAATCCCTCTGCCATATTTTCTCTAACTACGTCTCCCAAATCTCAATTTCCTGCCCTCTTGCACCTGCCTCAGGCATCTTCAGCATCTCCAGAGATCTTCCACACCCTGCCGCTGATAGCACAGTTTCCTCCCAAGTCCCACGAAGGGCACATCTACAGGCCAGAAGTATAGGACGATGGCTGGGCATCAACACATGTCGCTTGGGTGACATTGAACGACACCAAGCCATTCAGACTTCGCTTTACTCCTGTTGGGATTGTTGTTATGAAATTACAGAAATCTGGTGTTGCACATCCTTTGAAAGCAGCTGACACTTGACTTGAACCCACTAGAAAGAGAAGAATGTTAATATGAGTCAGGGTGGACTTAAGGACCCGGCACACTTGGGCAACCTGCAGGACCCTTTTACCCCCACCCCTCTGATGTTTCCTGAAAATTCACAATATTTCAGGACCATTTCAGATTTCAGGCAGATTTCAGGACCATTGCACCTGAGAACAGCCCATTTCTGATGTCTTCCACAAGCCCTGCTTTCCCTTTCTTCCCTGTCTACTTGTACTCTGACCAGACCAAGGCTATTGGGTGAAGCCCACATTTGCGAATTTAGCCACCAATTTAATTTCCCCAAAGCCCACAATACAACATCCCTCCAAGGCATGTGGAAACTCAAAATGGGAATGACAGCTTTGTACATGTTTGCTTCCATGCGATCAGGAATTTCCCAGCACTGTCTGGGGGTGGGTCAACACCATGCCATTGACTGAGGAATGGGGCAAGCAGTGTAAAGAAAACTTCAAATTCATCCCCTCAAATAAAACACAGATCCCCACCCCATCCTTTGCTTTTATCACATTTGGTCAGAATAGGGTCAGGTAGCTGATGGCTGAGAGCTGCTTTCCCTCACCCCCCACCCTCTGCTGATTGGCAGTTCTACTCACCTTGCTGCATGATACCAGCAAATGTTATGCACTTAGTACCTCTAATAGGGCAGTTATGGGTGTCGACGACCACACAATTATTTGCATTCCTCGTGAAACAGAATGGGCACTGCAGTGGACCAAAACTCCCAGGTTGAACTGGCAAAATGAAATTTATGGTTAGCGGATGGATTCCATTTATTTTGACATGACTGGTCCATCTGGCCCTTATTGTGCAGTTTGTACAAAGGGTTATCACTCCCCCCATGGTGTTCTAAACGTGTCATCAAATGTTCCAGCTGGGAAAATCTAATATAAATATTGTTGAGTGTTGCTCATGAGTATGGCTTCTGTATGTAACATATGCAGGTCTTTCTCAGAACATGCATCTTGGTGTCTACCTGCTTCTGCATGAGAGTCATCTGAATTGTATGAAATGAGATTGACAATTCTGCCAGCCAAGACAAAAGCAGATTGGTACTGATCCTTACCAGCGTATGAGATGAAACAAGGCTTGCCCATAGATTCTAGGATCCAGGCTTACTCTTTTGAATGGAAGATGATACTTTTCTACTATCCATGATAGGCATTTATAGTGGTTTCAGGTTCAATCTTGGAGTGATCATTGTGATTATCACCATTAACAAGATCATTTGTTGGGAATGATGCTACTGGGTACATACTGGTTTGCTGTGGGCAACAGCCGCCCTGCCCCTAACAATGAGATGAAAATGCTGCAACATTCAGTCAAATCTTAAATAGGATCTAGTTTTGACATTTTAGAAGGGTTGTTGCTTCTTTCATTAAACTTCATGGAATGTGACAATAGTAACACACCCAGTTATAAATAAAGTCACACTAATAAATATGTCAATTCCCCCCACCCTCATATATAAATTGATAAATGTGTGCACATCTCTTGATTTTCCCAGACATGCAAAAACTATTACTTGCTTTTGAGCTGGGAAACTTGATGACCAAATGGAAAAGCAGAAGATCCCCACATCAGATTTTATGGGACTCGTGAAGAGGAGTCCAACTGCTTTCCAGAGACACTAGGAAGACAAACCTTTCACCCAGTTATATTTTGCCTCTGCAACAAAGTAAGCAAACACAACACAAAGGAATACAGAGAAATAAAGAAACACAGCTCACATGACTCTGTATGCAATTACATAGAACTTCTCAAAGACAAAATGTAAAAACAAGACATTTATACTCCACCAAGTGTCTGTTTCTTTAAATATAGCCTTTACATAATATATGCCAGGCACGTCCAACATCCAGTATATAAAACTACTCCCAGTATATAAAAAACTCCCAGTATATAAAATCTACTCCCAGTATATAAAAAAAAATGGCAGTGATCTACCCATTGTCGTTGGAGGGAGGAGGATTCCCCAGAGTTGTTGAGTTTTTTTAAAGGGAAGAGTGACCAGAGTTGGTGAGCATTTTTGCGGGAGAACTGCAAAACCAAAATCATGTTCAAGTACAATACGGGATGTCTCAAAACCAAAGTTCCAGCCAAATGTATCTTCATTCAATCAAGAGAATATACCGTATTTTTCGCTCTATAGGATGCACTTTTTCCCTCCAAAATTAAGGGAAATGTGTGTGCGTCCTATGGAGTGAATGCAGGTTCCTTGGCTTCAGTGATAGCAACGTGAAGCCTCCGAAGTGCAGAGGGAGCGCTCCCTCCACACTCCGGAGGCTTTGTGTTGCTTTCGCTGAAGACTGGAGAGCTGGCGGTGGGGGGACTTCCGGGTTAGCGCCTCCGGCAATGGCGGAATTCCTCTGATTGGGAGGAATCCGCTCCGTGGAAATCAGGGTCTGGCCGCCACGGCGAAGGCGGAGACCCATTAAAAACCACAGGCGGGAGAAGCTTGTGGACGTGGGATACGGCTGGCACCTTTTGCGCCTCCCCTACTCGCGGGGAAACCCGGTTTTGGGGATCCGGAGCAACGTGGGGTGAGTGGCGCGGTGCTTCGAATCGACTGCTTCTTTCACGGATTGAAGCCGCATTGCTGTTGCAGGAGAGCGCTGACTTTTTCCTGTGGACAATTTGATTTTAAAACAACTACCCGTGAGTAGAACGGAAAATTGGATTTTTAAACGTCTTAATTTGGCACCGAAATGGGGAGGTTTCAAACAGGAAGTAACTGAAAATGGAAACTAACTTTATTGTTTGAACTGTGCTTAAAAGGATTGATACAAATAGAAATTGTTTCCCCCTAGAGGAAGCCTTTGAAATTGTTACAAGAGCTGAGCTGGGGGAATTTCCATTTCCACCTGCGAGATAAAACTGTGAGAATCTGGGATTGACCTTGAACCGTTAAGAATGTTGACAGAAGAAGCCTTAGTGGTTGCATTTTGTAAGATTAATGATTTACTGGAACAGCTTTATAAGAAGACGGATGCGAGGACGGATGCAAGTTATAAAAATTGATAACTTGGAACAAAAAGTGACTAATTTGGCACAAAAAGTCAATATTAATACAGAAATTATTCAGGAATCGATACGGGGATCTATTTTGACATGGCAAATTGAGGAGAAGGCGGGGGAGAAAGTTTTTGCTGTGGAACCTAAAGTGGCACAAGTGGAGAGGGAGAGAGCCCCAGCCGTACAGTGGCAATTTGATGATTATAAGTTGATGCCTTTCAAGACTGAATTTAGAGAAAGTCAGACTTTGAGGATTGGAGCCCCGCAGCAGCGCTTCCCCCCACCGCCAGCCCCACAAGCTCAGGAGACAGCGGTTGAGGCTTTTCCCCAAGGAGGGAGAAGGGACTGACTGGCTGTGTCAGTCCCTTCTCCCTCCTGGTCGAAAAGCCCTCAGGAGCCGCGGGCTCCTTAAAGCAGGGAGAAGGTCTGGGCTGCGCACTTCTGTCTGCTTCTCCCCAAACTGTGGGCTTTTGCTGGAGGTGGGGGATTTCCTCCACCTCCCACAAAAGCAGGGAGAAGGTCTGGGAGAAGTGCACAGGCTGCGAGCAGCCTGTCCGCTGCTCCCAGAGCTGGGGGGGGGGGGAAATCATATTTCCCCCCCTTGATTTCCCCCTCTGAAAACTAGGTGCGCCCTATGGTCAGGTTCGCCCTATGCAGGGAAAAATACGGTAATCTCTAGAAATATACTTGTTGCTAAAATGTGTTCTCCCTAACAGAGAGCATGTGTTGCAGTGGGGGCCAGCAGGCCACCCACTGTTGCTGGCCAGACCTGTTTGGATGTCCACGGGCAGTGATTGGGCAATTTGAATCTCTGGGGAGACTTCGATGTTGCCAATTTGGAGGTGGGGTCAAAGGTTTTAAATACTGGGCACACAGCCTTCCGCGTCCTCTTGGGCTGCATGTACCAGATCACCCGACCACCCTCCCTGAATTGGGGGGGGGGTTGTTTGCTTTGACCTTGCTATGCCTGTCATGGGGTCACCTGCTGTTGGGGCAGGGGCCTGGTAGGAATTTTGTGCATTTGGCTGATTGGCTGGTGCCATTTGGTTTTTGCCTACTGCGCAGCAAATCGTCACAACTTGTAAGGTTTGCGGTTAGGCATTGGTTAAAATTGGTGGGGGGGTAAGTGCCTACCCCTCCAATGGTGGTGCTGCAAGGGAATTCCGTTAAAGGGACTTGCCATCCTTTTCATCCAAGTCCCTGGCATTGGGCTTGGGCCATACAAGCCCTGGGAGCATGCGGGTGAGAAGTGAGGGTCTGTTGCCCAGCTTCATTTCTCCCCAATATTGTTTTCCCTGACTGGCTTCCGCTGGAATCCAGAAGTCAGTTCTGTCCCTGGGGCAAGGACAGATAGTCGTAACCAATGCCTAAGCAACCACTCACATGTGTGTATTTAAATAAAGTTGTGGCCAAAATCATGCCAAAAAACCTTAAACAAAATTGATGTGTGAAGTGTGAGTTTATTTGGGGTGGCTTGGGGACCTCGACACACAAAGGATAATCCACACACTGGATGAAAGCAACCCATTTTCCAGTGAGTGTTGTAGCCTTACTATCAATCACTCAAACCACTCTGATAGAGCCTCAGCTGTGTGAAATCCTGAGTGGGATTCCGATGACGAGATCACCAGATGCAAATGTTTTGAATGTCTTCTTCCAGTCGGCCCACAATGGTTCAAGTAGGTAAGTCAGCTCCATACACATTCTGTAAGGGCTGAATTATATTATTCATATATTATGGAAAGGCTATATTTAAAGGAGTGGGACGCAGGTGGCGCTGTGGGTTAAATCACAGAGCCTAGGACTTGCTGATCAGAAGGTCGGCGGTTCAAATCCCCGCGGCGGGGTGAGCTTCCGTTGCTCGGTCCCTGTTCCTGCCGACCTAGCAGTTCAAAAGCACGTCAAAGTCCAAGTAGATAAATAGGTACCGCTCTGGCGGGAAGGTAAACAGCATTTCCGTGCGTTGCTCTGGTTCGCCAGAAGTGGCTTAGTCATGCTGGCCACAAGACCTGGAAGCTGTACGCCGGCTCCTTCAGCCAATAAAGCGAGATGAGCGCTGCAACCCCAGAGTCGGTCACGACTGGACCTAATGGTCAGGGGTCCCTTTACCTTTATCTTTATATTTAAAAGAATGGACGCCATAGGGTGCACCAGACCATAGGGCGCACCTAGTTTTTAGACGGGGAAATCAATAAAAAAAATCTTTTTTCCCCCAGCCCCAAAGAGCAGCGTACAGGCTGCACACAACCTCTCCCTGCCAGAGAGAAGGCATAGCCCCGTGCAGCCTCTCCCTGCTGAAGGGGTTGTGCGCGGCTATGGAACAAGCCAAGGCAGCCAGCGGGATGGATCCCGCTCGCTGCTTTGGCTTCCTCTTTAGCCCCGTGCAATCTCTCCCTGCCAGGAGAGGCTGCGTGGAGCTAAAGAAGCCATAGCCCCGTGCAGCCTCTTCCTGCCGGAGGGGTTGCGCACGGCTATGGCACAAGCCTGCATTCGCTCCATAGGACGCACACACATTTCCCCTCAATTTTTGGAGGGGAAAAACTGCGTCCAATAGAGCAAAAAATACGGTAAATGTATTATTATTACATTTTTTTCCTTTGGGAAGTTCTATATTTTGCCTCTGGGCAAGAATTGTTGATACAGAAAGTGTCCAAAATACAAGGGCCCTTACACTGAATAGGGTTTTCGTTGCATAGGTCAGTATTGCAGCATTCAGCTT